TGGTGTAAAGCCCAGCCTTGAAGTGAAACCCGGCCTTGCTGCGAAGCCTGGCGTTGATGTGAAGCCCAGCCTTGGTGTGAAGCCCAGCCTCGAAGTGAAACCCAGCGTTGTTTTGAAGCCTGGCCTTGATCTGAAGCCTAGCCTTGGTGTGAAGCCCGGCCTTGAAGTGAAACCCAGCCTTGGTGTGAAGCCCAGCCTTGGGGTAAGACCCATCCCTGGTGTAAAGCCCGGCCTTGATGTGAAGCCCGGCCTTGATGTGAGGCCCGGCCTTGATGTGAAGCCCCGCCTTGATGTGAAACCCAGCCTTGGTGTGAAGCCCAGTCCCAGTCTGACGTCCGTGCAGCCTCCACTCGGGTCTGCCAATGTGGAGGGTGCGGCGGCGGAGTTAGCGGGGAAGCTACCCGGTCCTGCGCCCGGTCTGAAGCCCTTGGATATGATGAAGCCGGGTAACACCAAGGCCGCTAAGCCTGTCGGTGTGAAGCTACCAACTGCCGCCAAGCCCGGGGTGCCGGGTCCGGCTGGCGGACCAGCCGTGGCACCAAAGTCAGGGCCCCAAGACGTCTCCCCGGCGATTGGAGATGCAGCAGCTTCCTTACCGGCAGAGCTAGGCATCGAGCTGCCGGCAGTCTCCAAGGCATTGTCCCCGAAGCCGGGACTGCCGAAGCCTGGATTGCAGAAACCAGGGCTGCTAAAGTCTTCGTTACCAAAGCCGGGACTGCTGAAGTCTACGCTCCCGAAACCCGAGGCTCAGGTCATCCAAACGGAAGGCGCACAGACCGAGTCGTCCAACACGCCGGCGAAATCGTCGCCCAAGCTTCCCGCTCCCTCGCCGGATGCAGCCACCAAGCAGTTGCCGGCTAAGAAGCCTTTGCCACCCAAGCCCATGGCCTTGGGCTCAGCTTCTCAGACGTCGGAGGAGTCCGCACCGCCCAAGGTAGCAGTCCCTCAGGTGCCTCCCCCTTCTGTGGCCTCGGAGGTTCCGGGTCCGGAGGTTACGGCCACGCGCAAGTCGATCCACGTTATCACGCCCAAGGCGGGTATGCTACCACAGTCAGCCCCGCCGGTGCCGGGCGGTCTGTTCACGTCGCAGGGCGTCAAGAGCACGCCCAAGCACGAAGCGTCCAAGTTGGGCGCCGCCAAATCCTTCTTCCTGGGCGGCTCTTCGCCATCGGGCAGCGTGTCCCAAGGTGCGTTACTGAGCCCGAGAAACTCTCTCGGCCGTGCTTCCAGTGGCAAGCTGGGTATTGAGCTGACCCGCAAGTCCTCCATTCGATCAAATACCGGTCTTAGCGACTCCGAATCCGGACCTGGGAACAGTAACGGCAAACACTCCAAATCCAGCCACGGGAAACACCATGACCCGCTGCCTTCGAACGGGGCGGATGCAGGCTCGAACGCCTTCCTAGCCGGTGTATTCAAGTCATTCCAGGACTTCACGGAGTCATTCGACATGTCCACAGAGAAATCAACAACGCCTCACAAAACAACCCTAGCTAACCCAACCACCAAGCTACCCGTAACCAAGGCCAAGGCTGCTGGCCCTCCGGCACACAAACCAGCCGGACCGGTCGCCGGAAAAGGAGGCTTCTTGGCCAACCTTCCTACCAACTTGCTCCAACCCAAGACGGAAGTAGAAGCCGGCCAGGAGGAAACTCCCATTCCCTCCAATCATCTTCAGGCGAAACCAGGACCTCCCACCAAGCTCGGACCTCCAGCAAAACCCGGACCTCTAAGCAAGCTCGGACCTCCTGTTAAGAGTGACTCCCCTAGTGAAGCAGGCCCTACCACGACTCCTGAAGCCACAAGCCCATTGATCAAGTCCAACCTCCCTACGAAGCCTGGTCCTCCAACTAAGCTTGGCCCTCCCGCCAAGCCTGGCTCCCTTCCTGAAGCAGGCCCTGCCTCTGTTGAAGCTGGTCCTTCGACCACCTCGGAACTAGGTCCTCCTGCCACACCGGACCCTCCCACGAAACTAGGGCCTCTAATGAAGCCCAGCCTCCCCGTGAAACCTGGTCCTACCAAGCCTGGCCCTCCGACTAAGCTTGACCCTCCAGGCAGGCCTGGCTCCCTTACTGAAGCAGGCCCTGCCACTTCAGAAGCTGGTCCTTCGACCACCTCGGAACTAGGTCCTTCTGCCACGCCGGCCCCTCCCACGAAACTAGGGCCTCTAGTGAAGCCCAGCCTCCCTGCGAAGCCTGGCCCTCCAGTCAAGCCTGGTCTTCCGACTAAGCTTGGCCCTCTAGGCAAGCCTGGCTCCCTTACTGAAGTAGGCCCTGCCACTTCTTGGGCTGGCCCTTCGATCACCTCGGAACTAGGTCCTCCTGCCACACCGGCCCCTCCCACGAAACTAGGGCCTCTAATGAAGCCCAGCCTCCCTGCGAAGTCTGGTCCTCCAGTCAAGCCTGGCTCCCTTACTGAAGCAGGCCCTGCCACTTCGGAAGCTGGTCCTTCGACCACCTCGGAACTAGGTCCTCCTGCCACACCGGCCCCCCCCACGAAACTAGGGCCTCTAATGAAGCGCAGCCTCCCGGCGAAGCCTAGTCCTCCAGTCAAGCCCGGTCTTCCGACGAAGCTTGGCGCTCCTGCCAAGCCTGGCTCCCTTACTGAAGCAGGCCCTGCCACTTTTGAAGCTGGCCCTTCGATCACCTCGGAATTAGGTCCTCCTGCCACGCCGGCCCCTCCCACGAAACTAGGGCCTCTAATGAAGCCCAGCCTCCCGGCGAAACCTAGTCCTCCAGTCAAGCCCGGTCCTCCGACGAAGCTTGGCGCTCCTGCCAAGCCTGGCTCCCTTACTGAGGCCGACCCTGTCTCTCGTTCTGAAGCAGGTCCTTCGACCACCTCGGAACTAGGTCCTCCTGCCACAACGGTTCCTCCTATGAAACTCGGGCCTGGTCCTCCAGTCAAGCCTGGTCCTCCGGCTAAGCCTGGTCCTCCGGCTAAACCTGGCCCCCCAGGCAAGCCTGGCTCCCTTACAGAAGCTGGTCCTCCGACTACCTCGGAACTAGGTCCTACTGCCACACCGGTCCTTCCTACGAAGCTAGGGCCTCTAATGAAGCCCAGCCTCCGTGCGAAGCCTGGTCCTCCAGTCAAGCCTGGTCCTCCGACTAAGCCTGGCCCTCCAGCCAGGTCTGGGTCCCTTACTGAAGCAGGCCCTGCCACTTCTGAAGCTGGTCCTTCAACCACATTGGAGCCAAGTGTTTCTGCCACGCCGGCCCTTGCCACGAAACAAGGCCTGGCGATGAAGCCTCGCCTCCCTACGAAGCTTGGTCCTCCAATGAAGCCTGCCCCCCCTGCCAAACTTGGTCTTCCGTCGAAGCCTGATTCCCTGTCGGAAGTAGGCCCGTACACCACTCTTGAAGCCGGTTCTCCGACCACACCGGCCCCTCCCACGAAGCTAACTCGGATGAAGTCCAGTCCCCCGGCGAAGCCTGATCTTCCGGGCACGCTGGGTCCTGTTCTTAAGCGGGTCCCTTCCACAGAACTAGGTCCTCCAGTGAAGCCCGGTCCTCTCGCGAAACCGGGCTCCCTTTCTGGCGAACTGGGTCCGGCGGCGAAGGCGAGTCCTCTATCGAAGTCTACATTTGCCGCACAGAAACCGGACCTTCCAGATGCACATAAGCCGAGCCCTCCTTCCGAGCAGGACGCGCCGCGACTTGCCCTCGCTGATCCCCTATCGCTTTCGGTGAAGACGGGCACTCCCAACAAGGCGCTGTCCAAAGCGTTACCCAAGGCGTTGCCTCCGACGAGTTCCTCTGGAGATCGTGAGTCTGCCCAGCTGCCAGAGCCCAAGCTTGCACTGGGTCCGCCTGTTCCTGGGAAACTTGCTGGACCTCCTAAGCAATTTTCCGTCGCCGCGTCATCCGTGGGCGGGGTCCAATCCTCAAGTGGAACTGATTCGCTTCCGACTATATCAGTGTCTCCTCGGCTTGGAAAAAGAATGCTAAGCAGCAAGGCGCCTGCTTCCGCCAAGCTTCCTCCCCCGGCGCCCTCCAGCAAACCGCCGTCGGGATCACTGTCGGGAAAGTCCGTCAGTCCCTTCGCGACCGGAACCTCCTCCTCCTCTTCCGACGTACAGCTGGCCGCGTCAATCAGACCCTCCTTCTCTCCCGAAGCCCTGACACTGGGCACCGTGTCGCCCACCACCGTGTCCCCCACCACGGGGTCACCATCGGCTTCCCCTGTCCCCACAGCCGCCAAGACCCCTCCAAGTCAGTCCCCGACGATGGTTATTACAGCCAAGACGGCTCCCAAGGTGCCGATGAAGAAACCCGTCACTCCAACCTCCTCCGAGTCATCCACCGACTTGAATCTGCCCAAAGCGGCCCCCCTTTCTGCCAAACCCGCGGCCCCCATTCCAACCGCAATTTCGTCCTCGTCCTCGTCCACCTCACGGTCCCAGCCGTTCGCGAACCAGCCGCCTTTAGCCAAGTGGGCCTTGGCCAAGTCAGCTTTGGCCAAGTCCACCTCGGCCAAGCCCACTCTCACTTCCTTGTCGAAAGTGTCAGCAAAGACGTCGCTCGCTTCATCGCTGGAGCCGTCTCCAGATCCTTCGCCGGAACCGTCCGCCAAGACACAGACGTCAATGCCAGTGACTTCCAAGTCGATTACTTCCAGGTTAGTGACTTCCAAGTCATTGGTTTCATCTCCTCCGTTGGGAAAGACGACTGAGGCTGCTGCACCCCAGCTCGCTGCCAAGATGGTAGTGAGTCCCCCTCCGGGCGTTCTCGAGCGGGAGACGGTTGCCACGCCCTTAGCGAAGCTTGCCGTGGACGCCCTTGCCACAGACAAGTCACATCCTGACGCCCGTGTTCCTGCCTCTGCCTCTAAGCACGCCGTCGGCGGCAAGTTGGCTACAGTTGACAAGCCTGTGCCGCCCAGCTCGCTGGCCTCTCTGGCGGCGTTGGTGAAGGTCACAGGTGCCACCAGAACGGACGCAAATGTCGGTGGGCCCACCTTGGAAAAGACAGGTCAAAAAGATGGGCCTTCAGCCGACCTCGGCAGCGCAAAAACACCTACCCAGGTTGACAGCAAGCCTAGTGGGGGTTTGTTGAAGATGATAGCTAGTCGCACGATCTCCATGCAGGAACCAGATCGAACGTTGAAGCTGGGGGGAGGTTCCCTTCTCGGGGGTCTGGCGAAAGGCTCGCGGGAGACGGACTCGCCCCGAGAGTCTCCACGACTGACGCCCCGAAAACGCGCCTCTCGAAGGCCACCTGTCAACATGTCCGCCGTCCTTGCACAACTGAACAAGCCTGACCCGTAGTAGGTGGTTCGACAGGGGACTCCTCTCGCCCCGAGAAGAACTCATGCCATTGGGGCTCATGCCCCCTAGGAGAGATCTCACGGTCGTGACGGGCTCACGGTCGTAACGAGATCGGCAGAAACGATGAAACCGGAGTGACTCCAACATTTTGGGGACACTACACCGATTCTGGTTGGGGGAACGATCTGCGTGGTGGATGATTGGCGGTGGAGCTCGCGTGTCCTTCCCTTCGGACACTCTTGCTGGCGGGAATTAAAGAAATGAAGTAGACTGCATGGTTCGCTTGCTTTGATGCGAGAATTAGTTTTTATCGGAATAAAGTGTTTTGAGAGATATACATTATTTGGCAGCTTGATGCTCGCTTCCGCTGTCCGTGCTGTTGTTGTGCCAGTGGCCGCCCCGGCCGCGAATGTGAGTGTTGGCAGCAGTACGTTGTATCGCGAACAGCTGGTGCAGGACATCCATAATTACGGAGTCTACTGCTGGGACGCGATTCGTTACATGGGTTTTGATGAATTCTTGGCTCAGGACACCAACATGGGTTACATGTCTGCGGAATTCGCGAAGCTCATTGTGGCAGTTGGAGACCTTAGTGAAGTCGCTCTGGCAGACCCGAAGGTCTATGTGGAAGAACTCTTGAACAGAGTCAACGGAACGGAGAAGATGGCATAAACATTTTTAATCATCAACTTCGTTTGTGTATAGGATGGTTTGAATGTGCACCCAGCCAGCAGCTCAGGACCGGTTAGCTCATGCGGGGGGGGGGGGGGGGGGCGTGGTAGTCTAGGGGGATGATGCCTAGAGAAAGGTCTTTTTGAGTATTATAATTTTTTTTTTAATTTACCTTCTTTTTTTGGTAGTTTCGCCAAGACTCGTGTAAAGGACGTCTGTGGTTAACCTTTTTTGAGATATTTTCAGTGAATGGTTCGACATGGATTTTCGTCGTCCTGATTTAAACTTTGTATCGCATGGGTATGAGCTGATTGCGTATTATGGAGGAGGTATGTATGGTCGTGCGTATTTGGTGAAGAAGATCGATACGGAAGAGATTCGGATAGCGAAGACGGTGGATCTGACGGAGATGTTGCGTGCGAGTCGTGATGCAGCGATTCAGGAGGCTCACTTGCTGTTGGGTTTCACCCATCCGCATATAGTGCCGTGTTATGAGGCGTATGTGCAAGATGACAGTTACTTGGTGATGATAATGGAGTATTGTCAGGGGGGTGACCTGTCTCGTTGTTTATCGGCAATGAGGAAAGCGAACAGGCACTTTAGTGAGGAGGAGATCAAGACCATGTTGGTCCAGTTGCTCAGCGCTCTGTCATTCATCCATGAGAACCGGATCCTGCATCGTGACTTGAAGCCGAGCAATATTCTGATCAGCAAAACGGGCGACTTGAAAGTAGCCGACTTTGGAGTCGCCCGAATCCTGACAGGGCTCACATGTGCCGCTCTAACCAGCACCGGCACGCCTAACTACATGGCGCCGGAGATGTGCAAACGAAAACCCTACTCCTTCTACAGCGACATGTGGAGCCTCGGCTGCGTACTTTACGAAATCATGACACTTACCACCGCCTTCCAGGGCGAAAGCCTGATAGCACTCGCCTGGTCTGTCTGCTTCGAAAACCCCTCACCCATCCGTGGCCGCTACTCCCGTGCTCTAGAACGCATCCTGATGATGCTTCTCTCCAAAGAACCCGACCGACGTCTGCTCCCGGACGCGCTGTTGCATCACGAATATTTCAACTCCTCCATCATACCCCCACCCTCCCCCGATGAGTCTGCTGACTCACCCAAAACCGATGTACAAGGCAGCGAGACCCATGTAAGCTGCTCCCCCACTGCGTTGGCAGACTGTAAAGAAGACGATCGCCAGTCAGTCTCCACACAGGCCGCCGAGCCCGCAGACGAACACGAAGAGCTTGACGACGATACGCCCGCGCAGGCACCGGACCCTTGCATGGTTCTGGCCAAAGTGCTCTTCAGCTCATGGATGCGCCAACTCCCTATCGTCTTGCTATACCTCAGCGTCAATCCTCGCTGGCCGGAGCTCTGTCAGGAATACGTTGACAAGGCCACACTCCTGCGTCTGGGCTTCAGTCCGGACCTAGCCGACAAGTATTTCGAAATGGCCCAGGGCTCGGGGCCGGGCCCGGGCCAGGACCCAGGTCGGGGGCGGCTGGGCTCGAGCCGAGGAGTATCGGGTTTGGGGAGTGCGGTAAGAGACAGTGACGTTGCCGAGTTGGGCGAGCGGAAGCCCTCTGGGATACGGTCTCGGCGCATGAGTGTGACTACAGTAGCGTCTGTGACCATTCCGGGGGAGACGTCGCGGGGGGAGCAGTTGCTGAATGCGATGATGGACGAGGAGTTGGCGGAGGCTGCGCTCTTCAAGGCGGCCAGTGAAGAGCTAGGAATCCCGTGCTCCCGTTGTGAAATCCGAGCGACGGCGGCCTACATCTTGAGGCAATCAAGCAACGACCACATGTGTGCGCGGGCGTTGTTGGGCTCGGTCTTGACTCAGTGGGTACCTTGTTCGCACAGCTTCGTCGACTTTCTAGAGCACTTGCCGCTGGATAAAACGGAATTGGTGGTCCGGCTGCGATGGGCGGCGAATGAGGTGCGCAAAGAGGGCCGCGAGATGACGGCAGAGGGAACTTTAAAGGCCATCGCCACGCTGGCTGGTGACCCGAGCGACATCGACCGCAGCCATTTTCTACAGGTCATGAGCATCCGATTCGTCGCCTACGCAGACGCCTCCACCTGCGCAAAGGAAATGTACACTATCGCCAACAAGAACCTCAACGGCTCCGTCAATTGGCAGAGCTCCGTCGCCTTCCTGCTCGAGTTCGCCGGTTTCGACGGTGACCCCGACAAAAATCAAGAATCCGACATTAACAAATCTCTCAGCTGCACACCCGTACGCATTGAAAGCGCAAAGGACGCTCTTTTGGAGGAGTCGCTCATCCAATACGTCGAAGACATAGACCCCGGAATCGCAATCAGGAGAAACGGCTTCAGACGCAGCTCCGTGCGAGATGCATCGCGCGAAACCGAGGCGCTCAGGACCGACTCACTCAGGACCGACTCATTCAGGACCGACTCATTCCGAGCTCCGGTGCTCGACTCTGTAAACGAATCCACGCCAGTCGATGCACATGAATCCTTCCGGCCTGTGGACTCCCGCATAGACCCCCGCATAGACTCCCGTGTAGACTCCCTCAGAAGGGAGCCGCCTACCGCACCTAGCGCGGAGGGCAGACCCCCCCTCGATCCGCTAGAACGGGGTGAGACGCTGGAACGAGGGGGAGACAGCTTTGGTTCCCAGAAGCTCGAGTCTGTCTGCCGGGTTGTAGATTCCCTGCCCCGCGAGCTGGTGGGGCGGGATTCGATTGCCCCGAGGGACTCACTGGCTGGGAGAGGGGCCTCCTCTGGACGGTACAGAAGTGTGGACGGGCTGGACGGTCTTCGTGCCGACGGCGGCCGGCCTGATGACTCCTGTCGGGACTCTACACGCATCGGACACGATTTAGCGAGAGACGATTTAGCGAGAGGCGAGCCAGCATACCGAAGGGATGCTACTTTCAGAGGCGAGACGTCTACTAGAGGGGACCCTTCTCTACGAGGAGATGGGTCGTTTAAGGCGGACGCTTCCTTGAGAGGAGAAGGCTTTGTCAGCGGCAGTGGGCACACAAGAGCTGAGGCCCTGGCTCTGGCCGCGAGTAACCACCGCGACTCGGGTCTGAGAGACGTGGCGCTGAGGGACGCGGCGCTAAGGGACGCGGCGCTGAGGGACTCGGGCTTGCGGGATTCGGGCTTGCGGGATTCGGGCGTCAGGGACCTGGCCTTGCGGCCGTCTGGATCGTTGCGGGATTCGGCGGAGCAACCGCCCCGGTTGCAGAGGGACTCCGGTTCCTACACGGAAACGAACCCTTCGACGGCACTGACGCGGGAGGTGTTGGTTCTAAATCGGGAGGCGACAGAACCAAGTGCGGTGCGGAATTCACGTGGAAGCGGTGAGAGTGGAGTGCTATTATCCGAGGATGTCCGCGGTTACGATACGGGAGACCTGAATGGTCTCCGGACGGGCCGGTTTGCTACTGAGTATACACGTAGGATACACACTTCGGATTCGCTCCTGAACAGATCGCCAATGACCCATCAACCGCACCCCTTCATCCAATCCGCCTGTGACGACCTGGATTACCACCACCGAGCGGACCGCGACAAAGACCGTTGTGACCGACGAGGCGGAGACTATGCTCGACCGGGAGACTATTATAGAACGGGAGATTATTCTCGACCGGCGGATTACCATCACGACGACTACCCTCGACCTGCTGGGGATTATCTTCGCGAAGACTACTACCGCGAAGACTACTACCGCGCGGAGGATCTTGCCTCCAACGACGGAGGCTTTACAGACCCGCGATTCCACCCCGATGATGACCCGGTCTGCGTACGCCCACGGAACACAGCCGAGCTTAGAACCGACAGGAATGGCGAGAACCTGGGGGACGTGGGTCGTAGTGGGGTCTTGGTGGCTGGCAAGATCTCCGGAAGAAGACGAGCGTCTGTGTTTCGGAGAGCTGCCGCAGCAGGAGAACCTTCCGACTTACGCTTCGACGATTCGGGTCCTTGGAGAATTGAACCGGGTAGGAAATCGGACGAGAGTAGGAGGCTGGACGACAGTAGGAGGCTGGACGACAGTAGGAGGCTGGACGACAGTAGGAGGCTGGACGACAGTAGGAGGCTCGACGACAGTAGGAGGCTGGACGACAGTAGGAGGCTGGACGACAGTAGGAGGCTGGACGGCAGTAGGGGGTTAGACGGCAGGTGGTTGGACGAGAGAAGGTACGAAGACCGGTTGTCCCAGCCGCTGTCTTCACGTGTGGAGTGTTCGCGAGTGGAGTCTTCGCGGGGGTTGGAACCGAGCCGTGTCCTGGAACCGGGTCGTGTCCTGGAGGAGCGTCCCGTTCGGCTGGGGGAGGGCCGGGGGGGAAGTGACCGTCGCTACACGGACGACTGGACGGAGCAGGCGCGACTTTGGGGTCGCGGCCACCGGCGGAGTGCGGAGTTGGCGGATGGATTGCGGGAAGTCCTGCCGGTGACGCGGACCTGCGATTCGTTTACGCACACTCGCCGGAACTCCGCCTCCATCCGGGTCGTACGACCGACGGAGGCGGACTTGGTGCCGGCGCCTTCGTCGCAGCTGTTACAACACCTTTCTCCCTCCCAAGCGGGACTAGCACAAGCGGGACTAGCGCAAGCGGGACTAGCCCAAACGGGACTAGCCCAGGCGGGACTGGCCCAAGCGGGGCTGGCCCAGACCGGGTTTACCTCCGGGTTGAGCCAGGGCGGCGGCCACGTGTATCGGCAGGAGAGTCTGCGGGAGAGGCCGGGGGCAGTACGGGACGCGGTTTCATGGTGGGAACTTAGTCTTGGTCGTGAGGCGGGTGGAAGTCTGTTGCGGGTGGGGGAGCCCGGGCGAGAGCGTGATTCCGTTCGGGACCGTGATTCGTTTCGGGGCCGTGACTCGCTTCGGGGCCGTGACTCGCTTCGGGACCCGGGCCGATATGTGGCGCGGGCGTCGCGGTCTCCGATGCATCGGCCGCGGTCAGGAAGGCACGTGGAGGAAGACTTGTCTAGTTTCAGTCCGCAGTCGGTGGGTAGTGAGGAGCGGCGACTAAGGCGGCTGCAGAGTTCCGGCGTCTTCCGGCGTCGTGGGAGTGAGTCCAGCGGCGAAGACGAGTGTTGGACAGAATTTATGCAACGCCCGACCGAGACCAGTCCAGGCAGCCGAAACGACCTACGGGCTGGTGACCTGGCACTACGACCCGAGGGCGGTCGACCCACCGCCGAGTTCCGGCGCTCCGCCTCCAACTACCTACCAGCCGTCATCCGCACCGTCTCCTCCAGGGAGTGCAAACGCGCAGAACTCTGGGAAGGCTACCCGCAACCATTCCACGTCGTTTTCGAACTGCCCATGGACGTCGCGCTCTACGGCGACCCAGAAGTCTCACCGCTCGCCGAACTCACCGTAAGCATACACCAGAGCAAC